AGGTTGGTTCTTTAAAGAGATCAATAAAATTGATAAACTTCTAGGCAGATTGAATAGGATATAAACAGACCATCTATAAATTACCAGTACATTGAGAGAAAAAGATAGGGTGATAAGACGGGGGGGGAGGGGGGAGGAAGAGAGGGAGAAAGAGGAAATCACCGCAAATGCTATTAAAAGGATAATAAGAAAATACTATGAATATGCTAAAAATTTGTAAACTTCAATGAAATGTACAAATTCCATCAAAGACATAAACTATTGAAGCTACTTCAATAAGAAATAGATAACATGAATAGCCATGTATCTATTAAAGAAACTGAATTTGTAGTTTTACACTTTTCCAGAAAGAAAACTCTAGACTTCAATGTCTTTATCGGTAAGTTCTACCAAACATTTAACTAAGAAATAACACCAATTTTATACAAACGCCTCCAGCAACTAAAGAGGAGACAACTCATCCCAGCTCAGTTTATGAGGCCAACATTACCCTTATTCTAAAACCAGGCAAAGATGTTAAAAGGAAACTTTAGGCCAATATCTCTGATATAAATGCAAAAATTCTTAATGCAGTTTTAGCAAATTGAATCCAGCAGTGTATTAAAAACCATAAAACACCATGGTCCTCTGGGATTTATGTCAGAAATGAAAGGATGGTTCAATATTTAAAATTTAACCTATGTAATTCATCATGCTAACATAATAAAAAGGAAACGCAGGATCATCTCAATAGCTACAGAGCAAATATGTGACAAAATCCACCACTCAACTTTGTACTGTAAGTTCTATTTAATGCAGTAAGGCAAGAAAGTTAAGAGCATCCAGATTGGAAAATGAGTAAAGTAAAACTGCCTTTACTCACAGATTACATATTTGTATATGTGGAAATTTCTAAACAATTTACGATAAAAGCAGCTAGAACTAATAGAACTTAGAAGTGATCTATTAAGTTTGCAAGACACAAAAAGCAATTTAAAAAATCAGTTGTATTTCTCCAAACAGGCAGTGAAAAATAAGTAATTTAAACTTATAAGACATTACCATTTACATGATGTCAAAAAATATAAAGTACTTATTTTTGTCCTGTTAAAAACTTCCAGTTAAAAAACTTTTTAGTGTTAAAAGTTACAAAACATTACTCTGAGATATTAAAGAAAGCATAAATAAATGAAAGTGATCCACCATAACACTGGATTAGGAATCTCAATATTATTAAAATGTCAATTCTTCTCTAATCTGTAGATTAAACACAACCCCAGTCAAAAATCTCAGCAAATTTTTTTTGCAGGAATTGACAAACTGATTCTAGAACTTATATAGAAGCTCAAAGGATCTAGCTTTATTTGTAACATCCAAGAACTGGAAACAACCTAAGTGTCCATCAGTGTGTGAATGGATAGATAAATTGTGGTCTATGCATACAACGGAATACTACTCAGCAATTAAAAGAAACAAACAACTGATCCATGCATTGATGAGTACATAAACATACATGGATGAATATCAAAAATATTTATTGTGAGTGAAAGAAACCGGACACCTCCCCTGACAAAAAAGAAAGCCCAGTATAATTTCATTTACAAAACTTAAAAATGCAAACTGACCCATAGGAACAGAAAGCAGATGGTTGGTTGCCTGGGAATGGAGGTGGGTGGGGAAGGCAGGGGAGAGAGGGAATAATTATAAAGGGGTGTGAGGAAATTTTGGAGGATGGTGGATCTGTTCATTATCATAATTATGATGATGGTCTCAAAAGTGGTTTATAAAAACTTATCAAACTGTACAGTTTAAATATGTGTGATTTGTTGTATGTCAATTATAACTCAGCAAAGCTGGGAAGGCAGGGAGGCTCCAGCTCATGTTCTGTGTCAGTGAGACAAATCCCCCTTCCTTCCTGGTCACTACTTTTCCAAAATAAATTTTATTTTTTATTTTATTTCTTTTCTTTTCTTTTCTTTTCTTCTCTTTTCTTTCTTTTAAATGGAGGTACTGGGGATTGAACTCAGAATCTCATGCATGCAAAGCATGCACCCTACTACTGAGCTATACCCTCCCATCCCTGGTCACTATTGACTGATCAATTCAAAGCCAAACAACTCTGCAGTACTGAACTGAAAAGCAGTCAGTACCTCAGAGTATTCTTGACTTAAAACTCTGCCTAGTAGCAGTGTCCCATATTGGATGCTACCAAAGGACTCAAGACATTGTACAACAAATGAGGAAATTTCCCTTCCTTGCTATATAAAGTAACTGTTTATTTTTATAATAAACTCTCATTTACCAAGGGTAATCCATGCATGTTAAGGAGCCAGAAAATCACACCTACTTACACCCATCTTCCACATGCTTGTTGAAGCATTCTTCCAGAAGTCCTAGTCAATGCAATAAGAAAATAAAAGGTGGGTTATACATGTTGGAAAGGAAGAAACAAAATCATAATATTTATACTGCTTGATTATATACCTAGAAAATTCCAGAGAACCAAACTGAATAATTATTAGAATTAATAATAGGTTTATGTAATATGGTGAGGTACAAAGTTAATATACAGAATTCAGTATTTCCCAAATATCACTTAAAAAACAAACACTGTAGGATGAGGGAAAAAATGACTCAGAGTAACAAGAAAATCTTCACTAGCCTGGTTGCTTCTTCTGAACATTTTTTTAGTTCTTCTGTATCCTTCTTAAAGAGTTATCTTGGGAGGTAACTAAAAATATACATGATCATTATATCTCTTTCTGGAGAAGCTACCACAGTGGCATCCTAAGTGCCATCAACCCCCCTTGATGCAGTGTCACGGCTTGGTCTCTGCCTCATTCCGTGTTCTCCATGGTCTGACCCGTCTTACCATATGCTTGTCTAGGAATTTTCTAATGAGTTGATTTACACAAAATGTAAATACTGGGTTGTTTTTATACTGGATATTTTTTCTATATGGTGAGAAACTCATTTAATTCAGGAGAGCTCTGCGGGTAAAACAACATATTTGTAATTATAGATTTAAGTTAAAGAAAAAAACAACAGAGAAGCAAATATTTGTGTACTCGTCGGCTTATGCAAACAGGATGTAAAACTGTTGCTATATGGCATTTTTAAATATCTCAAAATAAAAGTATGAAACAATTAAAATATTTTTAATTGTTTAAAATAAAATCATTTTTATTATTGAAAACATCGCCTGTTGACTGTGGGAGCCTGAGTACTAAAGTCACTGATCTCCCTGACTGTGTGCAGATTACTGAATCTTGCTAGGTATAAGAGTCTTATATAAAATGAATGAACCAGGAATTGGTTATCCTTAAGGTCTCTTTAGCTAAAATTTTTGGTAATTGCATATAATATGTACATCTCAAGTGTTTTCATCTTCTTGCTTTTAAAATATTATGCAGTAAATAATGTTTTTCTTTAAAGCAAAAAGTCCTGTACTCTGTCTGTGTGTTGATATTGTTGAAAATTTGTTTGTAATACCAATAGTCTCTGTGTATCCAATTTTCAAAATATTATCACATGGCACACAGAGAATTTAAAAGGAAACGTAATTCTACCTATCTTCACTTTAAATAGATTCAAAGTTGAGTCTCTATTAAATTTGTTATTGTCAAAATAAAGTAGGAATGATGTTTAAATCCTTAAATACCAGGTCACTATTTTTATCATTGATGATATATAAGTAATGAGATATCAATAACTGAGCAATTATTTAGATAATAGTTACTAGGCACTCAAAGTTCTGGTCAAGTCCTTGTTGAAGTGGGGGTGATACCAAGCACAGAAAGAATGAGATCTTGCAGTCTCAGCAGAGAAGAAATATATTTACAGCATATTTCAAAAACGTGCATCACAGCTGACCCTTCAACAGCATGAGTTTGAGCTGTGTGAAGCTACTTACACGGATTTGTTTTCAATAAATACAGCACCTGTGTTTTCCTTTTACGGATCTTTAGGTGTGAGGAAAAGTTTGTGTTTGGTTAAAGATCCCAATATGTGGAATAAAAAGAACTAGTGTTTGAGTCCTGACTCTATTCAAGCTGTTTCAGCTTCCTGCCCTCCTGGTGCGTCATTTATCAGTTACTCCGTTTTTGAGGCGGAGAGAGAGCAGGACGTGGACTTTCAACGGCACGGGAGGTTGGCGCTCTTACTTCCATCCCGCATTGTTCAAGGGTCAACTGTATTGGAGGAAAAGTACATGTCCACATTCAAATGATGCCCCTTAAACTATTCTTCCATAATGCCGCGTGGAGTACTGCTTTAGAGGTAACTAGATGTAGGAAGCTAGCTTCAGTGTCTAAACATTGATGTCAAATATTTTGGGGCACTTTGATTCATTCATTCAACCAATATTTACTGAACACTTATGTTGTGACTCACACTGTTCTTAATTTTTCGGGTTTTGGCTATTATGAATACCGTTGATAAGGATATTCTTGTCTGTGTCTTGATGTATATTTGCACGCATTTCTGTTGGGTACACACGGAGAAAAGGGTCATAGAATGAGCATATGTTGAGCTTTATTAAATATTGGGAAATATTTTTCTAAAGTATTTGTACAAATTTATACTCCCACCGATGAGCATGTGTAAGAGACTTAGTTGTTCCAAATTCTCAGTAATATTTGACATTGATTGTTAAGTTTTAGTTATTCTGGTGGGCACGGTGACATCTCTATGTTGTTTTAATGCATTTTCCTGATGACTAGTGATATTGACACTTTTTCACATGCTTATTAGCCGTTTAGATACTCTCTTTTGCAGAAGGTCTTGTGGCCATTTTTCAGGTGGGCTTTCCGTCTGCTTGCTGACCTGTGGGAGTCTTTTATATCTTTGGAATACAGGTCCCTTGCTGGATATATGTTACAAAGATCTTCTACGCTGTGGCTCATGTTTTCATTCGTTTATGCATAGAAAGAAAACTACTCTAGGAAAGTTGACTAAAATGTCAAGAGTGGTTTTGTCTGGATGTTGTTTTTTCTTTCTTTTTCCTTCTTCATATTTTTCAGTTCCTTAAGAAGCATGTAATGAGAAGAAAATTTAAAACACAATAAAAGGAGTGAGTTGTTTAAGGAAAATGACATATTTGAAACATGATGATGTAATTTTAAGACAACCCATCGGGAGAGATTAGCATAGACAAGAACTGGAACAATTTTCCTTTACTGTTACTCATGTCCCTGCGCAAACCTACTAGAGCCACCTGGTGGACAATGTCGAGAAGTTTACAGCAAATGTCCGAATGTGCTGCAATGTGCTTGGGTTGTTACAGCACAAAAGACCAGCTTACTCACCAGGTGAGAAATGTACATAAAACACACTGGTTACCATCTCAGTTTTCAAATAACTGAAAAGACCCTTCAACGTTCAGTGGGGGGTACACCTAGTTCACCAAGGGCCTGGGTTGGACCTGACCAGCAAATATGACAAAAATTCAGAGTGAACAAAAGACAGCAAGGTTAGAAATAGAAATGAGAACAGTTCAGGGCTGGCTACACAGTTTGCAGCACCTGGGCAAGATGGAAATGTGGAGCCATTTGTTCAGAAAGCAAGAGAAACAGTGCCCTTAAAGACACTACAGTAAAGTTTCCCTTGCTTCCACCTTCTCTCTCTCAACCTGTCACGGTGTTGTTCAATTGCTATTTAATGTCATTCTGGGTAAAGAGAATGTTTAAATTCAAATTATCAGCATGAATTGTACAGCTTATCTGCAGGCTGAGCACTCAGCAGAGGTAGGTGTGGTCTGACAAGAGGCGGGCAGGAGGCCTCTAGGAAAATTGCCAGAAGCAAGAATCCAAGAGATTTCTCACAGACCTCAGAAGAAGAATTGTGTTTATATTTGTCTTATGTTTTCAGCTGTGTTTTTACTGGCAGGCAGTTCCCTTTCTTTAACATCTTGATGAATGTATTGTTTATGGCACTTTGCATTCTGTAGGGGGTGAAGTGGATAAGTACATCATAAGTAGGTAAGGCAGTGTAGCTAAGGTTTGGAGAAGTCTGCCTACAAAGGTCAGAGACCTTAGTGATAAGAACAAGGGATGTGTGATCGGAGGTCAGAGGAAGGCAAACGCCTGGTGGCTCAGTTGGACTGGGTGATAGAGATTGTTTGGTGTCCTCACATATTTGTTTCCCATCTTCCAGGGTGACAGAAATGCCTGATTGTCAGCTGGGTACACAGCTGCTCAAAATGGAGACTACATTTTCCGGCTTCCTTTGTACATGTAGTCATATGACTAGACTCCAGTCATTGATGTGAAAAATCATCTGCCCTTCTCTTCTTGTCTTCTCCTCAATCTTGCTGCCTAAAATGCAGACCCTGTTGTCTTGGACCATGAGAAGAAGGGCCGTGGTCCAAGAGGTGGGGATCAGTGAGACGGAATCCCAGAGGACTCTGGGGTAAATCCTCCTTTCAGCTCTGGACCACTCACCCAACAGCAGTCTTGTTCTCATGTAAGCCAGTGTTATTTTTGACATTTTGCCTCTCACAGTTAAACCTCATGCTTACTGCTACAAAGTATTACTGCAAACTTACCCTGGAATGAACATCTTCCAGACAGAAGGGCTGTCTTACACATTGTACACACAGAGGCAAAGGTCTGGTTTTTCACATTCCCATCACTAAAACATAGCAGAAAGACCTTTATAGAATGCGTATCCCTTGGCACTTCAAAATCTCACGCAGGGAGCCTGGGGGTCAGAAGCCAGGGCAAAATATTGGCAACATACAAAGTGCATTAAAAGACAATGATCTTGGGAATAGGAAAGGATGAATTGGGAGTTCAAGATCTGCAGATACTAACTACTATAAATAAAATAGATAAACAACAAGTTTCTACTGTGTAGCACAGGCAACTATATTCAGTATCTTGTAGTAACCTATGATGAAAAAGAATATGAAAAGAAATATATAAAATATATGTATGACTGAAACACTATGCTGTACACCAGAAATTGACACAACATTGTAAACTGACTGTAATTTAATTTAAATTTTAAAAAGGCAATGATCTTTGGGACCATACTTAAGTGGGTGCCAATCCCTAGAAACAGCTGGACTGAGGTAGAAATGATGGTAAGTGAAAGCAAGTGGCTGGTGTAGAGCAACAGGTGAAAGGAATCCGTAGAAAATGTTTTAAAAAGCAGATCTTGAAAAATTACTTTATTAGTTAATTAACTTTGATTTTTAAGACACAAGCAAACCATCTAGCCAGGAGGAAAAGACTGTTATGCCATGATGGCTGGGATTACACAAATTTTGCTCATTATTTTAAATAAAATAATGCACATAAGTGTCTAACACAGCACTTAGCGTATAGAGCTCAATATACACTAGCTATTACATACTGTTATACTATGTACGTGTATTACAATAAAAGAATTAAGCCTGTTAACAAATTGTCTGAATCACTGACTGAATAAAGTGAGGTCTCTCTTTTAACATATTTTGTCATGTTTTTGTTCCATGATAATGTTTAGGCTGACTACATTATACATGAATAATGCAAGCATTAGTAGCTATGTTTCATTGGGCGTCTGTTATGCTAGGGATGTTTTACACACACTATTTCACCTGCTTCTTACGGTATTCCTGAGAGATGACATAAATCATTTACCAGATGAAGAAACTGGGATTCAAAGAGGTTATATGGCTTAAGATCTAACTTAAGATCACACTGTAGGTGGCAGTGAACCCAGGTTTGTTAAACCAAATTCTTACTCCTTTGCTAGCAAGGTATGTGTCAAGTTTCATTTGTGGGTCTCTTTGTCCTGTTGAAACAAAATGGTGGGTGATCATTTTTCCACAGTCATTTTATTTTTAACAGATCTTAAATCAGTGGAGATACAGTAGTACACGATTGCATGAAAGAAGGAATAAATCAATATTTCTAACATGGGAAATGTGAGAAACAAAACAACAGAATGTGAATAAGAAACTTACAGATAGGTAGGACCTAGAAAATAATTATTAAATATTTACTACTTGCTTTTGTTAGTGGACTTAGTGCCTTACTGCTCTGTTATAATATTCATCAAGCTGCAAGTTAAGATATTTCACTCCAAAATTTAAAACTGTTGTCCCATTGCAAAAATTGAATTACAGAGATGTCTGTAACAAGTTATGAACATTTTACTTTTTCTCCATAAAATCCAGGATGTTTTCCACTTGCAGCTCAGCTCAGTTCAGATGGGACACGTTTCAAGTGCTCAATGGCCACCCGAAGCTAGTGGATACCATTTGGGCAGTGCAAGTCTCGATCACCTACAGTTTTGATGATTATTTTCAGAATAATCCAGATAATTAGATCATAATCCTTAGAATTCATTTAAAAAACGACCATAGAACCCACCTGCCACATGCATGACCTAGCTTATGATATATTAGTATAAATTGATAAAGATAAATTGATCACAAATATCTGCCCTAGGGAGAAGTCATATCAAAGCCACAAATTTCCACTGTAATGGCACTCCCTCCTATGCCCTAAGAATAAAAATACATTAAATCCCTCTGGATTTGCATTATTTGCCTACTTCTACACTCTCAGCCTTGATATGTCGGTTTAACCATATGATGAGCTGTCCCTGCAGCAAGCTGTCTTAATACACCACAGGCACAGTTGAGCTTGCCTGAAAAGGTGAAGGTGGCAAGCCATCCTAGCACAGAGCTCCATGCCTTTAGAAATGCTTGCCCTGAAGTAGATGCATTTACACAGCATTGTATCTCAAGCTACTGATTCCCAAACCCTGTGGAAAGGGCTGATTTTGCTGTGAAGAGAGGTGGACAGTTTTCTTCATATCCCAGCCATTGCAAGCTCTCTCACTCTGCCTCACCATCAGCAGGAATACTAGGGTCTGGGGAAAGTGACTTAACCTTTTCTTTCTCCCTTTTTAAAATAATTGATTAATTAATTTTTGTGGGGGGAGGTAATTAGGTTTATCTATTTTTATTTATTTATTTAATGGAGGTATTTAATTGAACCCAGGACCTCGTGCATGCTAAGCAGTCACGCTACCACTGAGCTATACCCTTCTCCCTCTCCCCTTAACTTTTTTTTTTTTGGTTGGTTTGTTTTAGGAGGGTAATTAGGTTTATTTACTTATT